CTAGTGAACCCCTGCGTGCGAGCTCTCAACGTCCAAGGTGCTGTCAAAAGTATATCGAGTCGTCTATAGTATCTACCCTGTTCACTTTAGAAATTTAAAGCAGATTTATAGCCCATTAGCAACTGTACAAATAAAGAAATCAGCGATGGCTGGTCGAATAAATCCCGGAAGCATTACACCAGTGTGTTATGGGCACGAAGAACTCACCACAAGATCGCTCAATAAGTGCTTGTCAATTCAAGCAGAGCGCGGGGCTACCAGCTTCCTGTCGTACCGACGCATGTGGCGAAAAGGCTCCGAAAGGGGTCCGGGGCAGCGCCCCGGGCGAAAAATGATAATTTGAGAGGACTAAAAGACCGGAATCACGTCAAATCTCTTTCGATGAATCTCCTGGCCCAGTTGGAGTCCATCCATGAATTTATTGAGCTTGAATTTTCCGCATATAGCCCATTCGAGCCTTCCTTGAGCTAGTCTTTTGGTGTATTCAAAGCCGCAAATGATACAATTTATTCTACGAAGAGATTAATGAGGTTTGGCTCATATAAAAGTGGTGAACCAACGCAGTGACGGTAAGAAGATATAATGTTTACCTCCTTCACATGTTGAACCGCGCCGATAGGCGCGCGCGCGACAGCGTTTTAACTCCAAAAATCACTCCAGAATACATTCAAAACCATGTTTGAATTCGCATAATTATGTATGATTTGATAATGATCTTCACAGAAAATGCTACCGAAGTTCCCTTTATCTCTCTCCCTTTTCTTTCTTTTCCTTTCTTTTTCTCTTTCTTTTCGGGCCGAAATACCCCCTTCTTTGAGGGGAAAACCTTCCGAAGTTCAGCAGACCAGACTCAGGCGGGCGTCTATTTTTCAGTTTCGCCTTCAAGTTCAATTTAGCGCTCTGCTCTGCTCCGAGTCATCGTCCCTTTTATGCATTGCATCGTTATCGGCGGCCCTTTCTGATACATCCAAGATGGTTTCGGTATGAGTAATTCTCAGCAGCTTCCCAGACACTTGTACTCACGACTGCTTGTTTGAATTCTCTATCCACAGATTTTGCGCGGCTCAACTCGTCAACTTGGATACTTGGATGTGGTCCAACCCTCACGCTATTATGCGTCCTCTTCGTCTCAAGGATCTGTGATAGACAAAATCCTGGATTTACATTGAGCATCACTCGACAGATCTTTACCCCTTTGCGCATGGTACGTGGGCTGAGCTCTTTTCTCAATCTAGATCTTCGCTAAGACATTTCTTTCCATGTCTGCAGGCACTTCGTCCGGTTGCCCGAGGAATAATAATATCCATCGTTGTCTTTTAACACGTTGTGGGGTCTCTCGACCTCATGAGATTCCGTTTCCTGGCCTGGAAGGTCGTCACCGAGTCCCTACCTCAGACCACACTTCGTTCGGAATCCCGCGCTCTGTAATTCAGCGGTGTCAAGCTACCACTTCAAACCGTCAATCGCTGCTAATGGGGTTGCAAAATGAATATTTTCGGGTTGCGGGCAGGGCGGGGAGGTTGGGCGAGCGACATTCAACATTTCTCATCAAGTAAGTACGCATCTCTTCTACCATATGCCGGTGTCTTATCTCAGCCGCCTGTCCATAATAGCCCTTAATATCGGAGACATTTGTCCCCTAATACAGCAATATCTCTGCTGTACTGTTATTCCGCATTCGCACGATTGCTTCTACGTCTATCTCGTGACTGCATCCGTGTTACATAGTCGACGACAGGAGATGGCCCCCAATAGATATTCACTGAAAAGAAGCACGGGGAGCACCTTTGCGAAGTCTCACCTGTGAGGCTGGAACGAACTGCGAAGATATGACTTCTCATGATTCGCGAACTGTGGGGTTCTGGCCGCTCTCCACTCCTCCTTCATCCTCTATCTCCCAGCATCGCATACTCTCCCCTCGTTGCAAGAAGCAGGCATCCGACGTCCTATTATCTTGAGACTTCGTATACGATTGTGATAGGCATGGGTTTATGGATCCTTGAAGATCGGCATCTGTCTCGCGTGCCAGGAACATCAGTATTCAGCGACGATCCAAACGCCGCGGCGGTCTCTGCGTACGATGGCTTGGATCTCAGCAAGCTGAAGCACGGATCGGGTCGCAATTCTCATATCGTGCTCGTACCCCAACCCAGTGACGACCCGAATGATCCCTTGAACTGGCCACAATGGAAGAAGCACATGGTGAATACTCACTTCATTGTCCTCACATTCCACCATCTGACTGATCGCAGGTGTTCTTTGTCTTGTTCGTACCATCTCCTTCAATTAAAGCTTACATTGTCTGACTCGTTATTCACAGAGTCTACGGAAGTAAGCAGAAAGCTTCGGTGACATAGTCAAACCCACTCTGACTCTGTCCATCTTCTACAGCGGTTATCTGCGGTGCTCTGGGACCCCTTGTGTCGGCTGATTTGGTCGGTATTGCCGCAGAGCTCGACCGTTCAATCTCAGCAATCGCTCGAGCATTAGGATCCGCGCTAGTATTAGCCCTAGCATTCGCGACCGTCGCATGGTCGGTATTGAGCGTCAAGATTGGAAAGCGACCTGTCTTTCTGGCAAGTACATTGCTGATGCTCGCCGGAAGTGTCATATCTGGATTCAGTCAGTCCCTACTTCTTTACTGTTATCATTGGCTGAGACTTTCTCTCAGCAAATGACTACAATACCCTCGTCGGTATGTTCGAAGGCTACACCTCTGTCTCATGCGCTTACGAAGCACTGCAGGGTCACGTATTTTGCAAGGCGTAGGTCAAGCCGTATTGGAGTTCCTTGTTGGGTATGTCGTCATATCTTTAACGCTACTCTTCTATCTGACTTGGGTTATGATAGAGCTTCTATTGCCGACATCTATTTCACTCACGAGGTACGCACTCTGTGACGAGTCCTCTCAAACTGTCTGATCATGTTCATCATAGCGTGGGGTACCGGTCGCTCTATGTCAGTCGGTCCAATAATGGCTAGAATATGACTCTAACATGCGCGACAGGGAACCTGGCACTCCTCGACGGCATCAATGTAACTCCGTGAGTCATCACTTCGCCGAATATGGGCTTGTCAGAATGCTAAGCTCTATTCTGTTCCATCGCAGTCCCATATCTGGTCAAGTGATAACCGCACTGGGATGGAGATGGTGCTTCCGCCTCTTTGCCATATCATGCGGAGTGCTTTTCATCCTTCAAGTCTTCTGCAGTACGTATGACGTCATTTTCGTGTTCCGCCATCTCAGTCCTTTTCTTCGCGTAGTGCCCGAGACAACTTATCAAAGAGCACCTATCGCTGCCACCTCCGAACCACTCCGTGATGCGCAATCTACTGAAAGAAAATCAGACGATGACGTCCGAGTCGACGATGGCGAAAAGAGAGAGTCTCCTACTGGATCAGTCATCAATAGCAGCTCAGCTGTACCCGCAAAGAAGACTTATCTTCAAGAACTCTCTGTTTGGAACGGCGTGTATCCTGATACGCCATCTGTCATGACGCTGCTTTGGCGACCAGTAATCGCATGCGTTACGCCGGTCTGCCTATGGGCTGGCCTGTTATATGGGGTCGCCATTACGTGGCTTGTTCTTATCGCAACCAGTGTTGCGCAAATCTTCTCAGCTCCTCGTACGTATTTCTGGCTATGACGTTATCCCATTCTCATATTGTGGACAGCGTATTCGTTCACGCCCAGCTCGATCGGGTTAACATACAGTTCGTCGCCGTGTTCAGTTTCGAAAGATGTGGCTCTGATAATATTTATCATAGTGTCGCCCTTCATCGGAGCTCTCTTGGCGGCGCTCCTGTGTGGTCCCCTGACCGACTTCGCGGCTCGACGGATGAGTAAAGCTAATCAGGGTCAGTAGAGATACTCGCCGAATACGATCAATAGGCTGATCTTGCACTTCATAGGGATATTCGAGCCGGAGTTCCGGCTAGTACTGGTCATCTTCTACGCCTTCTTTGGAGCCTTGGGATTTTTCGGTTGGGGGTAAGTATCATAGGACACAGATTGAGCGAGCTAACCCATGAGCTCAGTTTATCCGCTCAAGCACAAGATCCTTGGATTGGACCTGTAGTCTTTTTCGGATGCATCAACTTCGGTAAGCCCTTGTCGGACTGCGATCATCCGAAACATTCATCGGGTTCCTCGTGCAGGCATTACTATTGGCTGTTCAGCGGCAATCGGATACGTCGTCGACGCTCATCGCCAATCTGCAGACTCAGCTCTTGGGGCTGTTATATTGTAAGCTCTTCTCCGTCCGCTACGAGACACAAATCAACTCATGTACCTTCAGTTTCAAGAATATGTAAGACGTTCGACTCCTATGTGGGAGGTAGTCGGCTCAGAATATCTTGCAGATTTTCGTTCATCATCACGCTTTTCATCAACGAGTGAGCCGGACTGTGATCTTTGTGTCTCGTGAACCTAACTGAGTCCAACGTAGCTGGTTTAGTGCTCGCGGAACTCTGAACGTTTTCGGCATCGTAGGAGGTGTAACCCTTTTCACCTGCCTCTTAACAATCCGTAAGCTTTGTTCACTCCAAGAAGTCGCTAGCGCTGACGATGTGGTTACCAATCAGCGATGTATATCTGTGAGTACCCGTTAAAATGTTCGAGATCATTTCCTAATTCTACTTCCGTCAGATGGAAAACGTGCTCGATCCTGGATACATCGCACAATGCATTTTGATGAGAATGAGACCATGGCTATTGCTCATTAGTCGTAAGCCGTTTTAGTGCCTATGATGATGTGCTATCTCAAATTAGTTCAACTTGTTCATCGTGGTAGTCAACCCTAACGCCGAAGCCAGTGTAGCAGTTTTATGGCAAAATTGACCTGTAATTTTAGTCGAAAAATTGACACAGAAAAAGTACTAGCAGGTGCATGTGAAAGGCTTGGTTTCTCCAGGCCCGTCTGCAACTTTGATCACCCAAAGCATACTGGGACAAAGGATCCGCGATATGAATGTTTTGTACGACAAAAGGTCAAAAAATGTTCCGCTGCGGGGAATCGAACCCCGACCTCACCGGTGAGAGCGGTGTATCATAGCCATTAGACTACAGCGGACTTATGAGAATCCTCACAAATAAATATCATAACTTGAACGAATTTGCCAGCTTCTTATCACGACTGATACGAAGTCAAGTCTTCTCTCAGTAGAAATGGGGCTTAAATCTCTGTGAAATTGAACGACTCGTGTCTAGACAAACGAAAGGAGGTGAATAAATAAATAGGTGAATATATACATATAGAAAGTACAACTAAATACCCATGCTGATACTTTACAATCACGTACAACCAATAAGGAAATTTTACAGGAACGGAACACTGTATATAAGTGAAGAAAATCTACGCTTTCCTCAAACCCAGAGATCCGGGAACGACATTGACCTTATAGCCATTGACATCCTCCAAGTCGAAGTTCCCGGTCGCATTATACATGATGTGAACGGGCTTCCTGGCGTTGACCTCGTGTAAAACATGCCTTGCTTCGTCGTCGCCAGGAGCCAATACTTTCTCGAGATCGTCGGGAGTCATGACAGGACCGTCAGGGGAGAAGAGGGATGGGTCGACGCGAGCTCCGACGGCCTCGTGCATCTCGGGATCGGTAGGAGCGAAGACGTGCTTGCAGAAGTCCATCGTCTTTTGAAGTTCGTTCTCGGAAAGACGTTTTCCGGCGTCGGCAGTGCCTTGGATGACTGAAAGCGAGAATGAGACGACGAATACGAAGGTGAAAAGGCGTAACATACCAGGTCGAATGATGCTGAAAGCGCGATCGAAGTTGTCCTCGTCGACATCGGTGAGGACATTTTCGGCTTGGTTGCGAATTTGCTTGTAGGCACCCATGACGACGAGAAGAAATCTTGAAGAAGCGGGTCAGTCGATGAACGATTGGCTAAGAGTGAAACATGAGACATACCTTGTATAAGACACTCCGACTTTCTTATCGTGATAATCGGACGCGTCTTGCTCGGAAATACTAATGTCGCGAATGGAAGAAGCAACCGAAGCGGCAGCTGAAAGTCCTCCGGTGAATGCGAGATGGACTCCGCTCGAGAAGAAAGGATCGATGAAGGCTGTATGGGTGGTCAAATTTGTAAGATATGAATGCAGGAGGAGAACATACCGGCTGCGTCGCCAACGAGTCGGAAGTGATCACCGGAGTAGCTGGTAGCAGCATAGCTGTAATCAGATGCAGCCTTGACCGCGGGACCATCATTCTGAACGAGAGTAGCATTCTTGAGCAATTCGAGGACATGAGGGGCGAATTCGAGTTGTTCGTGATAGTGATCGAGGAGGGTGAAGTCGGCGGGTTGGGCTGCTTCCTTGGACGCGGCCTTCTTCGCGTTGCTGCTGTTTTGGTTCATGACGATGCCGACGGAAACGGTGCCGTCATGGAGAGGGATATACCAGGCCCAACCGGTCTCGTCTGAGAAGGCAATGAATATCAGAATACTCAATGTCAAATGCGAATATCTTACCGGTCAAGGCTTCGAAGTAAGGAGCGTTCTCCCGAGTCGTCCCGGGCATGTACATAGCACCGCCGGTCCAATATCCCCAGCAGGCCACGTTCTTCAAGGTCTCGTTCATCTTGCGATTGTGGAGGTATTTGGTGGACATGATACCGTTACGGCCAGATGCATCGATGAGATAGTCGAAGTCGATGGAACCTTTGACTTTGGCGCCTCCAGAGTAGGTGCGTTCGTAGTGAGCGCGTACGGGGCGAGGGCCAGAGAGAGTGGCAGGGGGAGAGGGAGGAGGGGTGTCGGGACCGAAGTCGATGGAAGTGACCTTGGTCTGCTGAAAAACTTGGGCACCGCATTCGGCAGCGTGCTCGAAGATGATGTTGTCGAACTCAGAGCGTATCTGGACAGAGGATTGATAAAACGTTAAGCCAAAGCTATTGGAGTAAACTTACGACGTTCCAGGCACCGTTGTCGGGATCCAAAGCGATGAAGTCGGTGTCTGAGAAGTACATGAAGAAATGAAGACAAGAATGTGAAATCTGGCTTACAGCCTTCGCGTTTGAATTGGTTGAACTTGACAGCAGCACCGGGCTAAAGACATTGTAAGGCTGAGGTCGACAGTCATGAACTGCAGCCACATACCTTGTTTTGGAAGCCGTGTTTGACGACCTTCTCCTCACACTTGATGAAGCGAAGGAAGGGACGAACGGAGGGAAGCATGCTCTCTCCGATATGATACCTGCGAAGTTGGATGTCAGCTTTCAGTCGACGACGCAGAATGCACACATACCTCGGGAAGCTGGATCCCTCGAGCAAGACGACATCGATGCCCTCTCTCGCCAAGGCACAAGCGCTGTAACTACCACCGGGACCACCACCGATCACGAGAACCTTAGCATGAGCAGGCTGTAAACAGGAAGCGTCAATTGCGGGGAATTCGTTAGATGGGGAAGAAGGAACGGACAATAGTATCGTGAGTGACAGCGACAGGCATGATAGGCAACTGGGGTAGGTTTTTCGTGAGGCTTGTGCGGAGAGAGAAGAGAAGTTGGGGTGTCTGGGGCGACGAAGAGAAAAGAAGCCTGAGGCACCGCAGACTATTTATCTGACCTTGCCTCCGCCTTCCGCCTTGACGGATGGCATGTCCTGATATCCGCTCCGTCCAAATCTGTAAAAGACAATAAAGTTAAGGTGGCACGAAATCCCGAACGGCGCAATATTTACCTGATTTGGGGGTTCGGGTAAGAAAGAAAGCCACTACCTTGTTCTCGAGTTTGATCGTGGCACGAACGATCGAGGTCCGAGGGCCTCGCTTGTTCATTATTGCCCCTTGAAAGAAGTCAAGAAGATTCAGGGCACCCCTTTGTCATTCTGATGCGATCCTAATCGAGCGGTCGCAATGAAGCTTTTGCTTTAGGTTTGCCTTTTAGACTTTGCTTATTGTTATGAAGACTCCTCTGACGCTCATGGGGGTGATCCGAAAATGCCGCATCCAGAAGATTAGCTATTAGACGTGGCTTCTTAGCCCCTTAGCGTCTTTCGAAGACTGTCAAAGACTTGAGTCGTTCTCAGAGCGTCAAGTGCGTTGGCGGCGAGCGTTCAGTGGACATGGTGATCAGACGAAGAAGGAAGCGGACTTTCCGAAGAACCGACCGGTTTCCAAGCGACGGCCGATCTCGGCATCAATATTTATTTCTTTTGTTGTTTTCGGAATTAGACTCCGTAATCAGCGGAGTAATAAAGTTGCATTTTGAAACGCCTTTGCACACGCAAGCACACAAAGCCAGATCTCGATAAACACTCCGAGCTATTCAGGAACGATTTGATGGGACTTTGCTGAAGCACCGAAACAAGGGCATCGGCGGCGTGAAAGCAGAACAATTAAATCTGATTTATTTCCAGTTTGTCTTTGAGACCGTACGACAACAAGGGACGGCGAATGCCACGTCCGAGCTCCCCCTACCACCTCTCGTGAGCTGGGCGCACTGCAGATCGGGGTCAATCAAACTTCAATGTACAGTCAAACGCAGCTTACGGTCAAGTTCCCAAGTCCATGCTGAACGGTCCTGATGGGCAAGATAGAGGTAGGACTAAATGCAAACAGTTCAGCTTCCACGGATCACATCGTCAAAAAAATGGTGGCGCTCACCCCTGCGATCCCCTCAGGGCTCAATCGAACATTTGGGTCATTCTCTGCCGCATCGTAAGTGGCCCTGTTCTTATTCTTCCATTTATCGGTCAAGATTAGTCCATCGATGATGGCATGCGCAACGTGGATATTTTGTTTACCAAACTCCTTGTTGAGGGATTGTGAAAGAGACCGGAGCGCGAATTTTCCGGCAGCGAAGGCCGAGGTGGTCACATTTCCTCGCCACGATGCTGTGGCTCCTGTGAACAATAAAGTGCCACGTTTACCGTACTCGTTGAGCCTGCCCGAAAAGAGAATGAGAATAACGTATTGGGGTGATTGAACAAGTACGGAAAGGATGAAAGAGGTTGAAGTGAGATGGCGAGGACGTACGGGAGGGGCTGGAACGCCAAGATCGACTCTCGAGCAAATGGAATGGCACCGAGGAAATTGTCGTCGATGGATGACTGCCAGTCCTGTTGCGTAAGCTCCAAGAAGGGCTTATCGAGCTTCAAAGCATTGTTGTAGAGAGTAACTCGGATATGTTCATCAGGCCAATGTTTCTTGATAGCTTCAAATACTTCGTGAATCGACTGCTCGTCGTACTTTGTAACGGGGAATGCGGCAGCCTATCGTGATCGCGTCAGATGTCAGTCAGGAAAGGATCGTGATTCAAGAGCTTACATCGCCTCCCGAACTCTTGATCTTCTCTGCGCCTGCCTTGAGATCATCTGCACGTCTAGCGATCAAAGCAACTTTATAGCCCGCATTAGCGAATAGGAAGCTGGGTGGGGGTTATCTCTCTGGGGTATACAAAATATAAAATCGTAACTGACGCGGATGCGGCTCCCGTTCCTTTCCAGATGTCAGCACGACATATTATCAGGAATATCAACTCATTTTCCTCACCGGTGCCATTTCCATAGCCTGCAACAACGAAGATACCCTTGCTAGTCGACATGGTCCTGTGCTATCAATCCGTGCTTATGGATAACCCTTGAATGCTCTCCATTATTGTAGACCTATATATACGCCGTCAGGTTTGCTTAATCAGAATACACGCCATCTCCCCTAAACGCAACGGACCTGACGGATCACTAAGCCTGAATCCACTTAGAAGCTCACGTACCCGGGCCCTGTTGGGCGTCTTGCAGCGTGTGTATGGCGTGATGATTCGCGATCCAAGCTGAAGATAACACAGTAGTTCCTTGCGAGACTAATGATAGATCCTTCACAAATGGAGCATCGTTTGTAAGGAAACAGGTTGGTGCTTGCGATTTAGCAGATGCAGATAGCACGAGGCTGGAATTGTTCCCGTGTCAACGGCATCCGGACGTTCCGATGTCCGAAATCTCTGCTTAACTTAACCTTTGATGTATCAAATCAATGAGAGTCGTCAACAGCTCCAGTGACGAAATAAAGCGACTGAATTGCGCTGGAGACCTCCATGGCACATTTGAAATCTTCTTATC